ATATATATATATATATATATGTGTGAAATTTCAGTGCAACTCAAAATGGTACTCAGTAGTATGCATGTCCCCCGCGTGCTTGTGTGCATGCTGCCAATGAGATGGTATCCTGGGGGATCTCCTCCCAGATCTGGACCAGGGCATCACTGTGCTTCTGGACAGTCTGAGGTGTAACCTGGCGGTGTCGAAGGGACTGAAACCTAATGTCCCAGAGGTGTTCTGTTGGATTCACATCAGGCGAGCGTTGGGGTCAATCATGCTTTATTCTCCAGGAACTGCTTGCATACTCTTACCACTTGAGGCCTGGCATTGTCGTCCATCAGGAGGAACCCAGGACCCACTTCACCAGCAGTGGGTCCAAGGATTTCATCCAGATACTTAATGGCTGCCAGGGTGCTGTTGGGTGCCTGTCTTCATGGATATGCCTTCCCAGAGCATCACTGACCCACCACCAAACTGATGTTGAGCAACATGTTGAAGAATATTACAGACAGCAATATCTCTCCCTTAGAGATAGGGTGAGAAGTTCAGCCATCCGGGAGAGTCTCAGAGTAGAGCCACTGCTACTCCACATCGAAAAGAGTCAGTTGAGGTGGTTCGGGCATCTGACAAGGATGCCTCCTGGGTGAGGTGTTCTGGGTATGACCCACTGGGACCCAGGACACGCTGGAGAGATTATATCTCTCTGGTGGACTTGGTGTTCTCCTGGACAAGCTGGAGGAGGTGGTTGGGGAGAGAGAGGTCTGGGCTTCTCTGCTTAGGCTGCTACCCTTGCGACCCGGCCCTGGATAAACGGAAGAAGATGGATAGATGGATGGACAAACAGTAATACAGCCCACTAGAGGACGTCAGGCCCTTGAGCCATCCAGTGTATTTCTGATTGTTTGGTCAGAAACATTCACACCTGTGGCCTCCTTGGGGTCATTTTGTAGTTCTGGCAGTGCTCGTCCTATTCCTCCTTAGACAAAGGATCAAATACCGGTTTTGATGATGTCTTAAGAACCAACCCTTTTCAGCTCTCCTAGAGTAACTGCCTGTTTCCTGGAATCTCCTCTATGCTCTTTAGACACAGTAAACCTCTGGCACTGGCATGTATTGATGTGCCATTCTGGTGGAGTTGGATAATCTGTGCTACCTCGGTAGGGTCCAGTCTCATACTAGTAATAGTTACACTGAGCCTAGTAGTGACAAAAAAATGTTCTTGACAAAAAATATCTTGACCTGTAAAACCATTTGTATTGCCTCAGGTTGTCTCATTGTTTCCCCTCTATTGAACCTGTTTCATTAATCGGTTTTAGCTGCTTTACTGTTAATGAAACAGGTGTATACATACAGAACAGAATTATATACATAATAGACTATCATCTTTGGAGTAAATGAGTATAAATTTAGGAGTAAAGAGAAAAACCCAAAGAACTTTAGTGACCAACTGGCAAATAAACCGCTTTCATACTGACATGTTCCCAGCAGGTAGCATTTAAGCTAACTGTTTACGTTAAAGCCACGAGGCCAGAGAGTTTTCATACAACTTTCTACATCATAAGCTTACACAAATGAAACTCACTGTCCACTAACTGCATGCTAGCTGACGTGTTTGTGAATCTGTCCAGTGTCTGACATTGAATTTCCATATTACATGCAGCTGTGGGCTGCTGCTCATTTTATCTCATTTGAGGCCTGTAATTTCATTATTTAGTAATCATGACCTTTCTAAGCTGGTTATAAATTGCTTAGTCAGTTTTATAATTTATGGCCTGTTTTATGATTATCTATGGTTGCTGGCTGGGCTGCTATATCACGCTGTCATTGCAGTCATTGCTGAGTTCACTGCAGCTTTTTCTTTTTCTATCTCTGTCTTTCTTTTTCTTCCTTACTTTTCTGCGCTCTCCTCCTTTTTTTACTATTATTTTGGCTTCTTTAATTTCATAATCACCAGCCTAATGCAGGTTCCACCAAACCAGATTCTGCCAAATCACGCCCATCCACTCTCTCCACAAATGGCGAGGCCAACTCGGCCAAACGCCCCTCCCCCACCACTGCTTCAGCCAATAAAAAAAGCCCTGTACCCAAGGCAACTACACCTACTGCTGCCAAGCGGCCGCCAACAGCAACTAGCTCTGCTAAGGCTGCCAAGGTAAGTATAAGTCACAAGGTTACATGTATTTCTTCAGTACAAGCTATGTCTGTATTTGGTAAAGACTGGATGACTCTCAGTCTACATTAATATCTAGATATGTCTTTCAGAGTTATAAAATAGGATCCT